AGTATACTAAAACATTTCATTGTTTTAGTATAAACAGACTATACAAAGTTAATCAAACACTATATAAATAAATAATTTTGGAAATGTCCAAGTAACTATCTAGATTCTAACAATTACTAGGTACAAAACTCAATAATTAATTTATGAATGAAAGTTAAATCATGAATCATATTCGTGCAGGCATATAAAATACCTACTCTATATTATGTATGTTTGGAAATTTTCTACAATACCGACATCTACTGAAACGTATACGAAACATTAAGTTATGTTAAGCATCTCTCTACCATTTGTGTGTTTCACCAACTTTCGCTGTAAAGCAAGAAGAGTTACAAAGTTTAATAGTTCTATATTGTTCCAATAGATGGCGCTGTACACATTTATACAATTTATAAAGAAAGAGAGAAGAAGAGACAAGAAAGCATTAAATTCCTAACATTTATTAATAAAACTAGTGTTGTAAAGTAATTTATTTACGTATAGTAACTAATAAAAATAATATTTAAATGTATTATAGTAAAGACGTATTGTCTTGAAACGCAATACTACAATGTTGTTTTAAGAAATCTACCTACAATTTTTATATTTTGCATTTCAATAAATCGAAATTATTTATACCTATTTTTTTAAATTTAAATTATAAATCGATACAAAGGCAAGAAGTAGGTATGTATTAGAATGTACGATGATTAAAATAACCTTGGTGGTGCCGATGCATCAAGAAATGCATACAGTTGCCAACGACATACTAGCGGCACGTTTGAGCGTGTGTCTCGGCCTGATTAAAAAATTAAATTAAAAAGTCACCCATCGGCTGTACAACGGGTTGTATCGGTATATAAAAAAGTAGTATAATTGATAAAAAATATAGAATTACACAGTCTTTTTTTAATACAAAGAAGTGGAAAGTTTTATTTATAAATATTTACTTAATTGTTAATATATTGTGTTTCGATAATCAATAAATACTACGTGATTTAAATAGGTTATAATATTAACAAGAAAATTTGTAGTGAAAGTTTTTACAGTGATTTCTTTCTAATTTATTATATATACCTAGATATTAGTAAAATTGTGGCCACCGTTCATAAAGCTACCAAAATTAAACAAATAAAGGGTAAGTAAATCTACAAATAGTATTAATTAATATAATAAGTACAAAACAGTACCTTTTTTAATTTAAAAATAGAAAATAATTAAATCAAAGTATTGTGTATAAACCATAGGTATATGATATACTTATCTATATTACAGTATATCCGGTTTAAAATCAAACTCACTTAAATTATTTTATTTTTGATCTCTGAACATATCTATTTGAACTATAAATTTATTATTCTGGAATTGTTACTAATATTATAAAGTAGTTTCATTTGTATTTATTTCCTGTTCATGTCTTGACGGTTTAATCAGTCTACATAAAGAGAATAGTAATTAGTTTAGTTTTAAATTAGTTATTAGTAATTATAATATCCGCGCATAATTCTTACAACGCCATCTAGTTCTAAGCTAAGCAGAGATTTTGTTATGGGTACTAGACAACTGATACAAATACTCAAATACAGGTTTTGTTCTTTAAAAAAAAACGCTAAAATAAAGTTCAGATAATATTCCCATAATTTACAATTGAAGGTAAATCTTTCCTTACTCGTGGCGGTGTTGATATAAAGGCGTAAGTGGTTTCAAAGTTTGATAACCTGAACGTGGAAAGAATTTTTTTTATGATAGATAAATAGATAGATGAATATACTTTATTTGTAACACACACTAAAGAAAAGGCATAAACAAAATATTAAAGGACATGTATCGTTACAATAAGGTGGATTTAATTGGTGATAATGTAATGGAATGGTGCACAGATTTTGTGCTAACACAAACGGTATTGGGGCACCGATGGAGAATGATAGGATGGGGTCAAGTTAGCCCATTGTATTGAATTCTTCCACTAATATATCAGGGGCGGATCTAAGGGCTTTTTGGGCTGCAGCCCAGTGCCCCGATACAAAGGGCCCCATTCCCTACTGAAACGACATCTAGAAGATAAAAAAATATCTAGTTAAAAAACCTATCATAACCCTGAGATCAATCAACCCATTCAAATGCGAGTCTATCGAAATGAACGGGGAATTTCTGGTCGGTTGTTTTTGGTCGGTGTATTTTTTTTTTGGAGTAATATAATTAGGTAGGTCCGTAAGTTGATTTAGCTCCACAAAATCACGATCCGCCCCTGAATATTCTGATAACTTTATATGATAATTTAAAGGTCATTCGTCTCCATTACCATCTCGGGCGGGGTGTTTTCTATGCACTATATTTACAAAAAAGTGTATTTATTTAGCTAAGTACTGTTGTACTATACAACTGTATAAATACAGTTGTATAGTACAACAGTACTTAGCTTGGGACTAGATGGCGGTGTTATTCTGAGATAGTATTATGTAATAAATTTTTAATAATAATAAATAATTGCCATAGTGAGTATGGTGACCACAAAGACCATATAATTGTTTTATACATATGTTAGTCCGTAAGGTATAATAAGGTAAAGCCCAATATTGTTATATATTAAGGTAATATTAAGTTGCCTGACGTAAATAAATAAAAAAATCAATAGCTGTAAAATTTTAGTTCACGTCGTACGAAATATGGAAGAACACAGACTTTATACCTCTTCATACATCACCAAGTCGTGGGTAAGAACTTGTGATCTATAAACCCGGATAAATCTGGCCACAAGAGTGCCATTGTGTATTGTCCTGAGATTATATATATAATCAATAGCCATGAAATTTAGTGCACGTCATATCAAATATAAATGGAAGAACACAGCTTTATACCTCTTCATACATCACCAAGTCGTGGGTAAGAACTTGTGATCTATAAACCCGGATAAATCTGGCCACAAACGTCACGAGCGCCATTATACTCTATCGCTTCTATATTTACAACGGCACATGTACGTAATTTTAGGACAAGTTGTGACGACTTGTGACCGGTGTTTGGTCACAGTTTTAAATATTTTAATTAACACTAACCAATTAAATTAATAACGTCTGGACAATTAACGCAGCGCCATCTAGTCCCACGGTAAGCAGAGCTCGTGGTATGAGTAATAGACAACTGATATAAATACTTAATTTTGTTTATAAATACATACATAATATTATTATTATATTTTATCATTATTAATATACATATAAAAAACCCAGACATACAGATAATCATACTTATGAATACAATGTTTGCACCGTGCGAGGAATTGAACCCGCGACCATCGGAAGTAAAGCGGTGTGCTAGACCGCTAGACCACCGAGGCCGTCACATTACATTAAGTTATATTTACGTAATATTATTTTGTTTAATTCCACTACAATTAGCAAGTTTGAGATCACAAATACCTGACTACCGTTATGACCTTTTCTAATGGTGATCAAATTCCGACCGTTATTGAGCCTACACCCATATTGCGACACATATGTTTCGCCTTCGAACGAGGTATCATCAGGCATTAAATGGAGTTCGGATATAGCTTGGAAACCTTTTTTTTCGGCCTACTGCAATGCTGTTGACCGCCGCTGGCCTTTACAGCTTCATCGAACGATAGGGGGCGAGTGCAGATGGCACTCCACACCCACGGAAGGACTTATGGAGCGGCTATAAGCCAACTCCTGTCTGACGGCGTATCCGTTGGGCAGAGGTTGGCTTTCAGCCGCTTTACTTTAGTCCGAGGGCACCGCATGGGTTCAAACCTCGGCTCAGGCCGTCGTAATTTCGATCCCCGTTTGAATTGGACGGGGGATCGATCGAAGGGGGAAGCCTAAAGTTGACTGTTCGGCGACCGAACCGCGACTAGTTCGATATAATATATTTAAACTATGTATATTGTTTAATATTTTAACATATGTGTAGTCTACTTGTTCACTACCGCTATTTAACCAAAAAGGTAGCAAGTTGAAACTTGGCTGACATCCAAAAACACCCCAGACGTTCCAGTTACATTAAAAATCAAGTATAAAAGAATAGAGTTTCTTACATTATAATTTATTTTTTTAATAAAATATAGAATTACCACCTATGATTTATTTTAAAAGTAGGCAAAAAAAAATTTCAGATGGTTTGTTTATTCATTATAAAGGTATCAAGCAATCAAACTTTATAATATTACTAGTTATTCGGACAAAAATTATTTTTCCATATAAATTAAAGTCGCTATTAAAAAAGTATCTGATGCCAGAATGGTAAAAATTTAGAGTACGTATTTTTTATGCCACGATATAAAAAAAAAAAAAATGTAATACAAAAAATAAAAAAACTGTTAGGGATGGACAACCTTTATCACTTAGGGGTATGAAATATATATAGTAGTCGATTCTCAGACCTAATGAATATGCATATAAAATTTAAAAAAAAACAGTCGTTCCGTTTCTGATGAGTATAGTAATTAATAGTAATTAACATTGTGAAGTGAGAATTTTATATATAAGAAGTTGTATTAAAAAAAACTTTTTTATAACAAACATGGCCGACTGAAACAATTGCCATGCGTGCCGGTAACTGTAATAAAGTTTTTGGATTATTTAATATCTAATAATTATAGTTACATGACTACCACAGGAAGAAAAACATGTCTAAGAATTTCTATGCAACTGCAATACTTAATACAGCATAATCTTCATAATTTAATAAACTACGTATTTATAGAAGTTTTATGCAACTATGTGAATGGAAGTCAATCGATGGCTGCGCGCGCAACTTCAGGCATGCCCTTCTTACCTCCACCAAGCGCCTCTGACGAGTTCATCCCTCGTTATATCCTAAATACATCGCTGGGGAACTGCGTATCAAATTTATATTATACAAAGCAAACGCTCAATGGTTAATGTAACATTTCTTAATGAACGAGATAAAGCAATCTTGATACATAACATAGAGTACATGCAATCCACCGCAACCCACTGAAAGGCATTGTTATTCAGTTCCATGAAAACGTTAGACAGGAACAGTGGCTCACATTTATTTGGAATAAAAAAAATGCAATCATATTTCAAATAACTTTTCTAAATTAAACCGTACTAACTTAAACATAAAGTGTATTTGTTGATATAAAATATTGATTTCTGCTATTTATAATACCAATAAATTTATCCAATGCATTGTAAACACTATCGGGAAACAATGATATCCTAAATGTCTATTTACATTTATTTCATTAAACAATAAATTATTATTTTATTCTATCAAAAGTCATAAACAACGGTCTCCGGTTATCCATTAAAAACAAACCAGATCTGAAGATCTGGACTGCCGAGTCCAACTTCACCTGTAATGGAGAAAAGTGAACGGTTTTCAGAATATCTATTCGCTAAGATGGGCCCAGGAGATGGGGGGCCGAAGACAACGGAGGACCGGACGGCGCCGGTAGAGCCCACTGGTGCCAGGAAGTGGCTGGCAGATAACATCATGCTGGTGATCACCTTGATTGGAGTGCTTTTCGGGATTGCTGTAGGTGAGTTTATATTTATAAATATTCATTCGGTACCGGTATTCAGATCGGTAGATTAAAAAAAATGAGTATTCAAAAGTGATTTAATGTAAGTTTATTTGAATAAATCATTTTCTATTCTTATTTCGTACTCTTTATAGAAATCTAATATATATAATTCTCGTGTCACAGTTTTCGTTCCCATACTCCTCCAAAACAAAACGGCATGACCGATTCTTATGAAATTTTGGGAGCGTATTGAGTAGGTCTGAGAATCGGCCAACATCTATTTTTCCCCCTAAATGTTAGGGGTAGTCCACCCCTAAATATTTTTTTTATTTAAGGCAAAACAACGATTGCCCGGACAGCTAGTATCTTTATAAAAATCTTTATAGAAAGATATGTATTAATATAAAAATACATGCATATAATTACATGTACAAGAGGCGGCCTTATCGCTAAACAATCTCTTACTGTAAGAGATCGTTTTAGGTAGACGTAGGTGAAGATTAAGAAAATAATAGGCGGTGCACTTAACAACACAACTAATACATAAATAATACATGCAAATATACACAAATATGTACATTCTATTCATATTGCTTTAGAAATAGAAATAGTCATAATATTCATTCAAATAAATTTAATATTGACACTTTTGAATAGTCATAATTTTTTTTATTCTAACACTCACTCGAGATGAAGATTCGACTCATCACAAGAAGTGGCAAGAATTTTGCGTGTTGCTTTTTTAAATATAAGTTTTACAGAATTATGTTTTTGAAAAGAAAGAAAGAAAGTTTTCTTATGTTTTTGAGAATTTTGAGTGAATACAAACTGCCATATAGCAAAGTCGAGATATGTAAGTAAATAAATATACATAATATAATACTTCAACGATAGTTTAATAGTAATAATTATCAGAGCAGACCAGCCCAAAACGTTACGTACGTTCTGCTCTATTCTATTGTTGCAGTAAACATAAAGATATATATTTTGTTATTTGGAAAATTCATTATATTTCCAATCTATTGTAAACTAGCTACTTGTCCCGGCTTCGCACGGGTGTACATATATTATATATATAAACCTTCCTCTAAAATCACCCTATCTATTAAAAAAACCCACTTCAAAATCCGTTGCATAGTTTTAAAGATTTAAGCATATATAGGGACGGACAGACAGCGACAGCGACTTTATTTTATACTATGTAATAATGATTCTTATACTGCCTTCAATTGTTCCTACGAATGAGCTAAAAATCCCCTTAATTGGTGAAAATTATTACTAGGATAAAGAATTATGACTTACCATAGGATAAAGAAAATAATTTAATATTCATTCACACATAATTTAAGAGCTACCATCTTGTCGGTGGAGCTCTTGCCACTTCCGCGATCTTCCATCATGCTCTTTAATTCTTGATACGTCACGACTCCCATTTTCTCCTTAATTTCATAGAGCAAAAATTTCACCGAGTTAAATTAGTCATTGTTGAAAATTTTCATAGTAATACATTTTGTATGGGGAGCGGTCGTGGATTCACATTTTGTATTAGCCTTAATAAGCAGGGAATGCATCATTTCATCCATTAATAACATGTTTAATGTGCAGATCACGTGGTATCAAAATCATGCGCAAGTCAAATATCTACTATAATATATACGGTTGAACAATGAACCAAACCGAAAGACTGTTTCAGTATTTAAGTATTTATAAAATGGAACATTTTTCCTATAGAAGTGAAAATATAAGGTAATTTTAAAATCTCCATAAGAAACTGGTCGGTCACATGATAACTTTGTTCTAGAAAAGTCTTTTCCGATCCTGTTTCTTTTCACCAACACAATGGATTTTAGAAACTGTTTTCAATAGCATGATAACATTGTACACTGATATATGATAGAGTTAAGTTATATGATCTCCATCATAACTAATAATAACATCCATCATAAACAATAATATTCACCGTGCGAATCCGTACTATGTCGCTAGTGTAATAAATAACCAAGAATTTTGCGACGGTCTCGGTGGTCTAGCGGATTTGCACACCACTTGATTTACGATAGTCGCGGGATCCATTCCTCGCACGGTACAAACATTTGTATTCATGAGTGATTGTTTGTATCGGTCTGGGTGTTTTCTATGTATAATGTGTATGTACAAAAAATGTGTGTATGTATTTATATCAGTTGTTTGATACCGTGTCATGGCACTATGTCAATTGTCTTGAGATATTATTACACTATTTATTATATTTGCCTTAATAAATACTCCACTCGAGTTATCATAACAACTATTTATAACTCCTGTAAAATTGGTTAAAACACGACAGACTTTGATAAGCGTATGACAGTTTATAATCTCTATAGATACCTACAATAAGTAATCTTTATATCTATAAACAAACCTAAAACTTTTATTAAAGATATAAAGAAGTTGTCATATCTGGGAGCTCATTGTGCAACGCTAACAATTTAATTTGAAATCGATTAAAACAAATAATATTCCGAATACGTAACCTACTTCAGTTACAATCAGTAGCTATATCTCGGCATTTGCTGCAAACTAATTTGTAGGTTTATGCTGAGTTAGTTGCCTTTTCACCTTTACTGCACATAAAGCCACTTCCATTTCTTTTATTTGTACCGCTGTTATGCTATGTGTTTGCAATTAGGGAATAAATTTGCATATAAAAAAATGCAAACCAGTCGATTTTTATCTGCCGCAATTGAGAAATGTTAGAAACTGAGTTATTAATTCGTGTTTTTTTTTACAATAAGAATGTATTCAAGTTTTGCTATCAGATGTCTAATAGCCATAGTAGAAGTTCTGTCTAATTTAGAACTTGTGGCAGTGTAAATTATGCATTAATCTATACATATAAATAAAATTAGAGTGTCTGTTGTGTCTGTAATATTGAATTAACCGTTTTTTAATACATGCCTATGATTATAAATACGATACATACACCAAAATTGTAATAAATGTTTTATTACAATTTTTTTCTGTCTGTCCGTTTGTTCCTGCTAATCTCTGGAATGGCTGGACCGATTTTGACGTGACTTTTATTGGCAGGTAGCTGATGTAATAAGGAGTAACTTAGACTACTTTTATTTTAGAAAAATAAAGTAGTCTAAGTTACTCCAACTAAAGCCAGTTATTAATATAAAATTATATATTTACTGTATTTTATAGCACATTATTTTAAAATGGTTATATATAAAAGCTGATACTGTGTAGTCTTCGCGTGACTATTTCACCTTTACGAGAATATTGTAGTTCAATATTGTCGTTTAGTTATTTTTGTCTTCTACTTTATCTATTCGTGTCTACAATCTATAACATGTACAGAATGGATGACGAGTACGATAGCGTATATTTTATGAATTTTTGAAATCCGCGAATGTCGCAATCTGGGTCACCATCTAGGACCGTCCTAGAACTAAGGTAAATAGCTCGTTTTATGAGAAGTTAGAGAGAAAACTAATATAAGGAAGCTGAACAGTAAAAAAATGTTTACGACTAAATTTTTAAAAAGTGATATAGAAGAAATTATTTTACATAAAACCTCAACAACTAATGGATCATGCCTACTCTAGTTCTACTTACAGTTGTTGGCAGTTAATTTAAATATCTTGTAAAGTCACTGACATATTTCATTATGATTATATAAAAATTAAAATAATAACTATATTAAAGATTGTCATAAATATTAAAGAAAGTGGCAGAGGAAGACCAAAAGAGAGATGAATGGACTGAATGAAAGATGATGTGGTAAGAAAGTGAGTGAATAACGAGGTTACTGCGAACAGGGATGAATGGAAGAGAAAACATATTACGCCGGTCCTAATTGAATGGGATAAGGAAGAAGCAGATGTTGATGATCTCATTATAAATATGTTTAATTTAATAAATATCGTATCTCGTACAATCTTTAAGATTAACTTTTTTACTAACAAACAGAGCTTCTGTATATACTTATAATTTATTAATTTATGTAGAATGGGAACAAATTTGGACCCAACTTCAAGCATGATTAATGGTAGTCAACATTTCAATTGAACAAATAAAATCTAATTGGTATATCATTCATATGTCTCCGTCCATTAATTGATCTTATGAAAGCAGTCATGTTAGAATTAAGAATGAACACGACTCTGTATTAAGATACTTATCTTGGCATTTAGGAGAGAGCATCGTCACCTAATTGATTGAACTTTCAACTCACTCTAATTGATATAAATTTCAACTTCAGGATTTGGACTTCGCCCCTACCATCTCGGCCCCGATGCGCTCATGATAATTTCATACCCTGGAGAGCTCTTCATGAGATTGTTGAAGTTAATGATACTACCTTTAATCATAGCGAGTCTAATCGCTGGGTCTGCAAGTTTAAATGCGAAGATGAGCGGAAAAATCGCAGTCCGGACTCTTCTATACTTTATACTTACTTCCATGTTTAATGCCTTCCTTGGTATATTACTGGCTACGATGATACATCCTGGACAACCAGAGTTAAGGGACGATCATCATGCTGTGGTGGAGAATAAGAGAGACCATAAGATCTTGGATAGCATACTTGATATTGGAAGGTAATATTTTTATTTTTATTTGCAATTCAAATTGCTTCCGAATTGATAAAGATTGAATAACACTAGACATAACAAAATAAATTGTGTCTAAATTTCATTGTTATAACAGCAATGTTAATAACATTGCTGAGGACTGAGGTGTGTTATACCTTAAGGAATTGATAGTTAAATTGCAAGGAATTTAACTCCCAATTTCTTCAAACTGGAATACATAAATATATTTTGCACTCTGCTATTGGCAGAATTAGATTAAATAAAGCAACGCGACGTCTGAACAAAATTTCCCGGTAAGCTGAGATTGTTAGAGAATTTTTTTAAGGGAAGTGTTTAGTTTTAAGGAAATTTACTGCGGATTCAACTCCGAGTCTTTAATACATTTATTTATTTTTAGGAACATATTTCCGGATAATATCGTACAAGCAGCCTTTCAACAAGCCCACACAGTGTACACAGAACCACCGACAATGTTTGCTAGAAATTTCACTGAAAATGATACTCTGCCTAACTTGGTAAGAGTTGTATCCTATAGGTTAGTATACAGTCTACTTCATATTATATATTCTTTAAGAGCAATAGTTATATAAACAGATACTACTGTACTAGATAAAGGTGATATCAGGCAGCAAGATTAGTGTTAACACTGTTTCGTAATATATATTTAAAAACATTAACACCAAACTGAAATGGTTGATACCAGGGAAAGATAAAAGATTATTTCAATCTTAAATTAATTTAATTAACTGACTGTACAGTTATTATTACAAAATTAATAGTCATAAAACCATTAAAAATGGTTTCCGTTGAAAATTAGTGCTGTAGCTTCGGCTGCAGCAATATTCTGCGCAGTGTCCGTTTTAGCAAATATTTTATAAACGCATTTTCAATTGTCTTATTCTGTTGATGTGGCTATGTCTCTGAATATGTATGTACATGTATATGTGTCTGTACGTGTATACATGCTTTTGCATTAAAATTTAATTGAATCTATGCTATTTATAATGCATGTTAATGTCGATAATAATTGCTTAATAAATGTATATTGTTATTATTAAATAGATTAGAAAGTGGACTAAAATTTTATAACTATAACAAAATTAAAAAAATAATTTACTCAAATAATGAATTTTTTAAAGTATGTTCTTTTTTAGATAATGATTTAAAGGAATTTAATTCCAATCGTAAATGCAGTAATAATATTAAATAGAGACAATGGGCGGCAAATATAAATACAAATTCTTAAACATGTAGTATTATACAACACATTGAGATGAGTACCGACCATTCTTCTTGTCTGAATGTGCATTCTGTATATAGCGAAAGTGCTTCTATTGAACAATCCAATATAGATTATTTCTACTACTCTATTTTTTAACTCTAATACAGATTTATTCCCGTCACCCCTTAACATAGCGTGGCATAGGAAATAGTGTTGTAAAAAATGTCAAAATAATAGTAATTAGTTTAAAATTGAAATAACTAAAAGAACCAAAACAATGTATGCTGTAGTAGCTTTTGTATTTAAAGCAAATATTACAATTATAAATTTCAGATCTGGTACTAACACTCTTGGCTTAGTATTTTTCTGCCTAGTTTTCGGAAGTCTTCTGGGCACCCTGGGGCCTAAAGGACAGGTGGTGATAGACTTCTTCCAGGCTATATTCGAGGTGATCATGAAGATGGTGACGGGTGTCATGTGGTTTACACCTTTGGGTGTCAGCAGTGTCATAGCTGGCAAGATACTTGGTGTTAGCAATGTCGGTAAGTTTTTTAACCTGTTTGTAACATACTATTTATTATTATTATATTTAAAGTAGAATAAAATTCGAAGTATTTAAAAATAGAAAACGGATTTAGACGATCACGGTGGCTTAGAGAAATCTTCTAAATATTTGAGTATAGTTACCACTTCGGTGGTCTAGCGGTTTAACATACCCCCTTATTTCCGATGGTCGCGGGCTAGAATCCTTGCAAAAACATTGTATTCTTGAGTATGATTGTTTATATTCGTCTCGATATTTTCTATGTATTTGTAATAAAAAGTATTGTCTGAGTTATCTAGTACCCATAAGCTTTGCCTAGCTTGGGACTAGATGGCAATGCGTGAATTGTCCACGGTCCAATTATTATTATTGTTCATAATTCCCAATTCAAATTCATATCTTTGAAAGATTATGATTTTCTTTTATTAAACTGACTTGTGTTATATCATCTAGAAACGTTGTAAGCAATGGCCATCTAAATTAAAAACAACAATGATAAATATTTGGCATACTTTCCGAAATTATCAAGTCTATGATTATGATATACTAGCTGTTCCCGCGGTTTCACGCCCATGAAATTTATAACCTATGTGCTGTTCTGATGTATAAGCAATATAGCTTACTATGTAGTTTCTTCAATAATTTAAATCCGTTCATTAGTTTTTACGTGTAAGAGTAACAAACATCCATCTATACTCACAAACTTTCGCTATAATTGTTAATACTGTCAATAAGATTTATATTAAACTTTATCATTTCAGCTACAGTAATGTCACAACTAGCATGGTTTATAGCAACAGTCACCGTTGGTGTATTTTTCTATCAACTTATTGTAATGCAGCTCATATACTTTGCATTCCTCAAGAAGAATCCGTACAAATTCTATCTTGGACTCACTCAAGCAATGCTGACTGCATCAGCTACCGCATCTACGTAAGTATTTTATTTATTTAATTAATTAGAAAATAGAAACAATCTTTATTCATGAAACATATAAGCACTTTTGAATAGTCATATTTTTTTATCTTACTGGAATTATCATTTTTTGCTTACGTTTGTTTCTATTTAGTTTAGTCTTCTTCTTCTTATTTGCCATCTCCTACGCCAGGTTGGCGATCATCTTATTCTATTGTAAAAGCACTGAATATTTATGTTTCTGTCCTTTCTTTCTTTAGTAGGGTATAACGGCTAATGATAATAATTATTTACTTTACCTGTTACATTTCAGAGCTGCAGCTCTTCCAGTGACATTTCGAAGCATGGAAGGCCCTCTACGGATAGACCCTCGAATTACCAGATTCGTGCTTCCAATTGGTTGCAACATCAATATGGACGGAACGGCATTATTTCTGTCTGTAGCTAGTATTTTTGTGTGCCAGATGAATAGTATACATTTGGGATTTGCGCAATTAGCAACAATATTGTAAGTTTCTAATTTAGTTCCTAATTATATATTTATTTTTGCTTAGAATTAAAATATTGATACAAATAATATTATAATACACATAGACAAATCACATAGCGCTATCTATTCTTAACATATTATTACAGTTAAAACATTGATCCAGAAACATAATATATTTTAGGATAGTGATAAAGCGACATCTAGTCCCAAACTAAAAAGAACTTGTGTATGGATACTAAACAATTGATATATAAAGACATTATTTTTTGGAAATGCTAACATAATATATATACAAAGTAACCAGACCGATACAAACAATCATACTCATGTATACAAATGTTTATACCGTTCGAAAAATCTAACCGCGACCATTCGAAATAAGGCTGTGCGGTGTGCTAAACCGCTAGACCGCTAGGGGTTATATTAAAATACATAGTTACGTTTTTCTTTCTTTCATTTATTTATCATTTTATATTACTTCACCTACTTCACCATTGTTCCACAGTTTAACATCAACCGCGGCGTCAGTATCATCAGCATCAGTACCATCAGCCGCAATGGTATTACTACTCGTGGTATTAGCAGCCGTTGATGCCCCTACACATGATGTGTCCCTGTTATTTGCTGTGGATTGGCTTGTGTGAGTATATCATGAATATTTACTAGAACACGACTTTGCAACTTTCATTTCCAACATTAATTTGCTTGAAGGTTCATGTACAGTAGCGAAATAATTATAATATGTAATATGATCTCTACTACTGTGTGGCATACCTCTAATGTTGCCATTCCTGCCATTCCCTAAGTCTAAGTTTTGATTACTCTGTATCCTGTTGTTTCAATGCCATATCTATATCTCCGACCATTTCTCTAAGTCTATGTTTTGACTCCTCTATAATCTGTTATTTCACTGTCCTTTCTTTATGACTTGTCATCCTCTAAGTCTAAGTTTTGATTCTCCTGTATCCTGTTGCCTTACATATATCGCAATTTTCAAACAGCTACATAGCTGCTTGGCGACTCAAAGAAGGACAATAAAAAGAATACCTTGGTAAACAGCTGAGCCGTATTCTAAAACCACTATATGTTATATTTCAGAGATCGAATACGTACAACGAATAATATGTTGGGAGATTGCTATGCAGCTGCAGTCGTCGAGCATTTATCTAAAAACGAGTTGATGGCTTGCGATGCAGTTTCTACTGTAAGTATAATTTATTATTATCTGTAAAGCTATTGTAATTGTAATAGTTATAAAGATCTAAAGGTTTAGACAACTCACAAATGAAATTAACCATGAAAATAATCATGCTGCGCACATAAGAACGACAGACATTTTATGTTTGCTGTCTTATTCCATTAATTGCTTTTAAATATGGTAATTCATTATTGATAGATTTATTTTCTACACGTTTAAGATCTCTTCAACGAATCTCAAGAAGTAGGTCGCAAATCAACTGTCCTCCTCCGTCGATGTCTAATTTAAATGGGGTCCAAAATTGACAGCCTCAGCCGAGGTGTCTATCCCTCACTATCCGTCATCCCATAAGTCCTTATCGTTCGTTCGTAAAGCTCAGAAGCGGTCAAAAGCACTAGAAAACTATTTATATATGTATTTATAAATAGAATAGTATCTCTAAATATTTGTATCAGTTGTCTAGTCCATAATAAAATCTCTGCCTAGCTTGGAACTAGATGGCCCTGTGTGAATCGTCTAAGGATATCACATTATACAGCTTTCCTAAAATAGGATTTTAATCATATTTTCAGGATCCAGCCCTCAATTGTTTGACTCCCACCACCAACACTGAGGTTGACATCGGCGTAGTAAAATGCGATGACGTCATCATCGATATGCACCAGAATCATTGTGATTCCAATAGGATTTAGTTTTAAATAGAAATTAAGTTACAAAAATAAGACTAAGTATTATATTGTGTGAAGGTCATCATAAATGGATGAGTGATTGCAAAAGTGAGATTAGAACCTTGTCCAATGCCTAACCAGAAATTTATTATATAGACCCTTTTAATATCGGTGTAATACATAAGCATGTAGGTATACATGTATAAAGTGATGATTTTATATAAAATTTTCTTTTAGAATATACACTATCGAAATGTCGCACGTTTTGCATTTTCTGGCAATTTTATATTTCCAAATATTTGGGCCAGGCCCAGCAAATGTTGTGTTGCCATATATATTCTAAATATCTTTATTTAAAAATTTCATGGTATAAAGGTGAAAATTTAATGTTAAATATATTTTCTAATGACGAATCATATAAAAATTAAAGGGGTCGAAGAGGTTAAAGAGTAATTTAGGATAAAGGATAAAGAGCAGTCTTTCGTGGTATGGGCATGTAATGCGTAGAAATGAGATAATATTTTAAAGAAGGTGTTACATATAAATGTAGATCGTTATAAGGGCAGAGGAAGGTGGAAAAAGAGATGGATGGACTGTGTGAAAGATAATATGACAAGAAAGCGAGTAAATGGCGAGATGACTGCGAACAAGGGAGAATGGAAGAGAAAAATATATTATGCCGACCACAAATAAATGGGATAAGGAAGAAGCTGATGATAATGAATCGTGTAAAAATGAACAATTTGACCATTTAATTAAAAATACTTTGCCACCATTATCACTTATGGTTAAAAATATATAACAATCGATTCTCAGACCTACCAATAATTATGCTGAACAATATTTATTTAAAATAGCAAGACACAGTTTTCTTTCTCATTATTCCTGTAATGAGTCTGCGTTCCGATTGAATAGTAGATTCAAAAATATGACTTATTTGTGTCGAAATTAATAGAACTTATTGACAAAAAATGCAAACGTTCGACGATTTATTCCAGATTTAACTTGAATTCAGTATATAATTATGAGCTCTTTATATTCTTTTTTACGGCAAGTACCTGAAATATATAGGTTATGCCTAATTAAACCTCGTAAGGTACATTATAGCCTTGTAGTTATAACTTTATATCCACATATTGCTCAATTTTTGAAAAAGAAATCTTAGTAAATAAAGTGAGGTTAGTATACCTGAAGCGAGTGAGTCTGCATGGTGATTTCTCAATCTTTCGTAATCTCTCAAAAGTAGTACTGTGGTTGTAAATCCTTATTTCCTTATTAATATGATAAATGCAAAAGTAACTCTGTCTGCCTGTCGTGCTTTCACACCAAAACTATAGAACCGACTTTAATGAAATTTGCTATACAGATAATCTAGACCCTGAGATAGGCTACTTTTTATTTCGAAAAATAATATAAAATAGCTTAAATAATATAAAATGCTATCCAGGATCTATTTCATTCAAGACATTTTTATGGAGTTGGCCTTCAGCCGCTCCATAAGTGCTTCCGCGGGTTTCGAGTGCCACCTGCGCTCGCCCCCTAACGTCCGGTGAAGCTGTAAAGGCCAGCTGCGGCCAACAGCATTACAGTAGTCCAAAAAAAAAGGATGATGATGAAATACTGCACCTTTTCGGTACGGGCGGGATATCAGCGGAGGATGAGAAGATCAGCACTACGTGGCGAATTCACCAGGAATTCATCACAGTGAATTACCATCTATTAGTATACATATATTACAGGGTATGTAACAGTATTCATCAGGAATGACAAAGCGTGGACGGTACGTCATATGATTGACAAGCATTTTGTGATAGCTACATTTTCTATATGTATATTATTTTAGATTACAACAATCTAAAATAATTTCCTAAACATTCCCGGTCTTAATAAAAATATTAGTTCTGTTAACACTTCCGGTGTTTCGGGAGTGGTGGGGCAAAAGATGGGTACAGAAACAGCCGAGGACACCCCTCCGATCGATATAATCCAATCGGGGTTCCCCCGTCCAATTTAAACAGGGTTCGAAATTACGACGGCCTAGCGGTGCTCTCAGACTAAAGTTGTATCCGTCAGGCGGGAGCTGGCCTTTAGCCGCTCCTTCCTTCCTTCCTTAAGCCCTTCATTTAGTTTGGAGTGCCATCTGCACTCGCCCCCCATAGTCTGGTGAAACTCTAAAGGCCAGCTGTTCGCATTAGAGTAGTCCGTTAAAACACAGCCGAAGTCAATATCGGAACGGGCTAGTCGCAAAGTTTCTAACAATACATAATTATAATTAAGCGATAACAAGATTAATGATAATATTATTGACACATTTGAAAAATATAATCTTTCACGTTTCACTAGATATATATTTACACTATTTCTGTAAACATGCAACCAAGTGAAAACATCGAGTGAGGTAAATACTTTTATTTACCATTATATAATTCATCTTAAACCCCGTTGTAATGTAATGATAATATTCTAAATTAGGCATAGGTATAATTATGAAGAAACATTTTTATCTTACATACACGAAAATAACATTCTTATATCCATAGATAAATATTTGGTAACTGCAAAATAACAGGAAAATAGTTCCGAAGCACGATATCTGGCAATGCATAGTTGACGGTCTCAGTGGTCTAGTGGTTTATCGAACCTTACTTCTAATGTCGCTGGTTCGATTCCTCGCATGGTATAAACATTTGTATTCGTGAATATGATTGTTTGTATTGGTCTGCGTGTTTTGTATGTTAGAAAAAAATATGTAAGTATTTATATCAGTTGTCAAGCTTTGCTTAGTTTGGGACTAGATGGCGTTGTGTGAATCATCATGGAGTTGTTATCAACAATTGTTGGAGTATCACATAATAACATTGAAGCTGTTGATGGTGGTATATAAACGCTGATTGCCACTTACCATCATTATATATTAAAAAAAAATTAAAGATTTTCTATTACTTCATAGATGCACTGGTTAATGACAATATTTAGGCCTTATATATATTATATTATATACATTATATAGCTTATTATATATTGATAGCTTGTTATAAATATATACTAGAATACATTACAATTACACAAACGTTCTTACAACTGTATTTCACTGTGTAACAAACACATAAATAAATGTATATGTACATACTCAATTAATAAATTCTCCCTTTATAATGTGCAAACAATTTTGATATTAAACAACTATAATATTAGTTATCTTTTTGCTTGTAACTTGCTCCATAAACGTATCGGTTTTTGTCTATATTAAAATTACAATTATGTGTCAAATTACTGAGAAATATAACTTTTTTTATAGGCTTTACTGTAATAGATAAAATAACACTAGACTGGGAGAAATCGAAGGAAGTATAGTTACTTAAGATAGCTGTATATTTATGTTTGGTTTACCTAAACGTTACATAAAAAAGACTTGGGAAAAAATGTTCATGATTTTACAAATTGTATGTTTTACCTACTGAAATATATGATAATGGAAAATGTCATTTGTATTGTACTGAACTTTACTTAAGTACTTAGTACTAATTTAGAATTAAGTGTTCACTAATAATATATACTATGTTATCCACAATCACCATTTGATAATTGTGTACCTATATTGATAATCTTAGATCTAAGCACATAATTTCATAAGCGTTTGTGACTGATTTTCAATATTTATCTATTGAAAACTTGTTGTTTCATTCAGTTTTTTTTATTTTATTTTCAAAAAAGTATATTCACCCTCCAGGACATATCTGAAAATCTGTATTTTGCTCTTAGAGTGATTCTCCACACTAAGCTATGTACCATTATATATTGCTGTGGCACACATATGCAGGTTTATCCATATTGTATTGTATTGGTTTAAACAATCTGTTTTTGTGATTAAGCCTATATGTGTGTACTAAAATACAAATACAAAATTCTTATCTATCTATCTATGTAGAAATTATTACTGAGAATTAACTAATAAATTATAATACTTGTATTACTATTAAAAAATATATTATTACATATAGAATGTTTTTCTCCATACAACAAAATATGTAACTGCAACAAAAGCTCAATGATAAGAATATATGTAAGCTAGACACCAGTTACGAAGCGGCAGCTAATGTATAACTACATCTATTGACGAAAAGGGATTTATAGGAAATTTCGTTTAAACATAATAAAAGCTTCTCAAGAAGCCTCTTCAATTTTATTTTATAGATCGTATTTAGGTTAGTTGCTTTCGCTAACGATATACGCTGGCGAGATGCCAGAGAAGGACTATTTGTTTTGGTTGAATGAAGTTAGGTCAGTTAACCCATCGTGACAAATTTATTAGGATTAATCACCAGGAAGGACTGCGTGGAGGTTGACCTAATAGGCAGCAGTTACTAGCAATGTTCACTATTACTAACAATCCCATTAACCTAAATGGAATTTGAAATAGAACTTATGTATGCACTACTAGGAGGACATGAACGAACATCGCATAACTTGTTAAGGATTGCAAAATAATAAGAGGAAAAGTGAGAACGATATGATAGTCGAATTTATGAAAAGAAAAAGAAATACTTATGCAATCCTTAAGATGTTATGAGATGTTGGTACATGTTCTCCTAGTAAATCTTACTTCAGACGGACTTAATATTATTAATATTTCCATAGAATCTTACTAATATTTGGGAAAGTTTATGAGTATGAATGGATGTTTGTTACTCTTTCACGTAAAAACTACTGAACTGATTTTGAAGCAACTTTACAGTAGCTTAAACATATCTTTTTTAAAGCTAAATTAACTTTTGTGAATTTCTTAAACGTCATACCACTTAAGAGGTTATATTCTAAATGTAATAATATGCTGCTATTTCAATAATTGATGTTACACTATCTGGACTTTCTGATGATATGTATCAAGTTCGGACGATTGAATGTTATATGTAATATAATAAAGTTTTCTATTGCAACATGTAATGTTTTACAAAATCTTTCTATAAAAATTGTATTAATCTATATAATTACTACGATTGCATCAATTGTGATTTGCTTTAAATGGTTCAGTAGATTTAGAGCTAACTGTGATATAATAATTTGTAATAGATCCTTCTTCAATACACAAGTGTTGTCACTAAATAAAACAATATCATAATTTTTAAACATTTTATTAATGTTCACGTACACTCCGCTGATAGTCTGGACTTAAAAATAATAATATAGACATTATATACATCACACATCCATTCAGAATTGTTTGGCACTTTAGTAAAACTAACAACATTCTCATTGCCAAGTAATTCTTAACAGACCCTCCGATATTTTCGATACTTAGACGAAAATCACAGTACAATAACGTCTTTACATAAAAGATTTTCCAGAAATCACATAATATTGTGATACGAAATACAAAATTCCTTCAAAGTTTTCGAATGCATTTTATAAAAATACATCTCTATAAATCTTACATAAAAATTGCATATTCTTATAGCTTAGAGTAAAGCTGTTTGTTTTATAATTATAATCATGGCAGTCTTCTTTTAAATTGTACAAGGCACTAATACGTATATATATAGACTAATATTAACAATAAAGTTAACCCGAATAAATTTTTATATACATTTACCGTAAAAATCGGTAATAAGCGCTTAATACATCACTTTGAGCACATTCAAGACAGTCCTATATCAATGCACAAAATGAGAAATGATACTAGACCGATCACATCGGTAATCAATAAATAGTATTAAAATACTTATGAGATACTATTCGTTACAATATGTACAAAATACTAGGAAACATTACAATATTTTCATATCCTCATGGTGGAATGTGGAGGTTTTCTACTAGTAGAAGCTGGCGGAAGACCTGGGCCTACTAGAGGCGACATAGAAGGAGATCTCGTTGCTAATGGTGAGAGTGAAGGAGAGAAAGATGGAGACATAGCAGCAGCTGCTGAGAAACCGCCAGGTACGTCATGACTTATAGGAGATCTAGGTAATAGGTGCTGAGGCTGTCTGCAAGACAAAGAAGGAGCCGGACAGCTTCTAGGAGCTACTGTGGTTAATAATGGAGGTGGAACACTTTTTCCTCCAGATATTGATGTACCTTTACTCTTAGCACTAGATGCACCACTATTAACGCTCTGAAGTGAAACTGCATCGTCTTTCAAACGAGCTATTTCCGAAAATACATGAGCTAATGGCTGATATTGCGGTCCCCAGTCAAGGAGATAGTCCCAATTATAACTACCCGTAAGCTCTTCTTCGGAATGTACTATCGAACTTAGACTGCCAGTCATTGACGGTCCAGCTGTCGGTACTGCTGTATTGTCACCTGGAGCATTAGGAAAGGCTCCTAATGCCATAGCTCTATCTACAGCTGCACTAGCTTCATCAGCACTACTGGCTCTTTCACTACCTGTGACTTCATTTAATTTGGCATATATAAGATTTGTTATGTCATTTTCATGTCCGCCATCTTCATCAAACATATGCATTGAGTCTATAGCTCCATGATGTAACATTGTGTCTTTATTGCCCACATTCTCAGAACATCTTCTTGAAGAGGTCGAGGCTCCTCCACCAGTACCGGTATCAACTATTCCTAACCTAGCCAAATATTCTTGAGTATTATGAACTGAGACATCAGACAAATTATCGTCGTCCACTCCATTTGTTTGTCTATGCATACCGGATTCTCTTTGGAGAGGACCTTCGTTGATCATTCTAATTTCTTCATCCTCGCCATCTTCACCATCTTCAGCAGAACCACGACCACTGGAACCTGACTGATCAGATCCTGAAAGTTCTGAAGTGGTTGCTGCTCCTGAATTAGAACTCGCTGTATGAGGACCATAAGGAGGAATTTCATCATATTTTGGTGGAGCAAATTGATTTCCTGACACAGTTCCTGTATTTCTGATAGGGATTGTATCAAAGGCACTTGGATCTACGTAACTGTTAGCAGCGCCTACTCCTTCAGAACTCAAGCCAGGCTTATTGACTTTTTTATGTCTTTTGTTTTTCATGTGTAGAAATAAAAATGCGGCAGCAAATATTATTATAATAAATATAAATGCAATCAACAATCCTAGAGCCCAATCAGATAGTCCACCGCTTGAAGCAGAAGTTGTATCGTTTAAAGAATTACTATCTGATACTACAGCGAGAGGATCTAGTAGAATTTCAACTGCAGTCTTATTTGTTAATGAACCTTGTCTTCCAGAACTAGCAGTAACTACTAAGCTAACAGATTTGTCAGATCTAAAAAGACTTGACACAGATTCCACTTTTTTCTTCAAAATTATAACACCAGTTGTCCTATTAATTTTAAAGAATGAATGGGAAGTAGATAGCTGATAGACTATCCGCCCATCTATTCCTTTATCTCTATCTGTAGCAGTAGCTTGTCCTATAACGTAACCAGATGGCAATGGTCCTGATTTTGGTATACCAAAATTATACGTCTTTTGTGTAAATTGAGGATAAAATTCATCTCGACTTTCCACATCTATTCTTACTTTTACTGTAGAAGTTTTGCCACCTAAATCTGAAGCTTTTATGGTAAATTCATATTTATTCTTTTGCTCGTAATCAAAAACTGCGTTGGTATTTACTAATCCAGATGATGAATCAATTTGGAACATTTTCCATGAGTCCTCATTCCTATTATAATTAGCAGATGCAGGTAAAATCGAATAGTTAAGTTTTCCGTATTTTCCTTTATCTAAATCTGTTGCTCTTGCTGTAAAAACAGAAGTGCCTACTCTTTCATTCTCTCCAATAGTCTCAAAATATTCATTAACAGGGAATGTCGGTGCATTATCATTTTCGTCGATAATATCAACTTTTACATAAGCTGTATTACACAATGATGGTACTCCTTGATCACAAGCTACTACTATAAGTTTATATACGGTATTTCCAACATCATAATCAAGTGACTTATTAACAGTTAAAACGCCTGTGATTGGATGAATATAAAAGTAGTTATTGTCATCTCCCGAGGTTATATTGTAAACCACAGCAGAATTTAATGTTCCATATAAATCACCATCCGTTGCAGATAACTGAGTTAAGGTATATCCAATTTTAACATCTTCGCTAACTGTTAATTCGAAATCATTAGTAGAAAAGATAGGAGCATTATCATTAGAGTCTGTAACTGTCACGAAAATCGTAACAGATGTTTTATTTTGATTATTAGAAAGTATTTTTCCTTGTTCCACTGCAGCTAATCCTAATATATAAGAATCTTGAGATTCTCTATCCAGCCTATTAATAAGGGTAAGTGCTCCTTCTGCGTTGACATCGAATGTGTTTCCTTCATTTCCAGATATTATGTGAAAGTCCAAGTTATATTTCTTCAGAACATCATTGATACCGCCAATTTGTAGAAGCGAAGAGCCTTTTCCTGTGTCTTCGTTTACGGTGATCCTGGAAATAAGAAATGAGAAATTCTCAGTGAATCTGACAATGTACGTAAGTAGCAATAGTAGCACTTGACATTAAATATAAGAAAGGTTACAAATTGTTGATTACGATACGCAAATGTTTCTTGAATTAGTCATATGGATGAGAAAAGAAAAGTAAAAGGTCACAGAAGTTTATTCTGTATATGACAATAATAATGGAATATTTGATGAAAATTTCCCAGCTACGAATTAGATCTAATTCATGTGACTTTCCATTGGCAACAAACTTCTAATATAAATTTAGAATGTCATGTCTAGCGTACAATGTACATCTATTTATGGACACATTACTCGTACGTAACATGAACATTCGAAAATAGCTTCACTCTGAGCATCGTAAAAGTTATCAATGAAATTCGTAGATTTAATAGCATCATATAATCAAAGAGCATATGTCTCGATTAAAAAACAATTCAAAACTTTTTTAATTCCGTACAATTTGAAACCGCAATTGACTAATGACAATATAGAAAACTATCGTGTCCGGGTACCACGGGATCAGTTCGATATATAAGAAAGGAATATTTTTAAATGTAATGCTCTATATTTAAATTTAGATAAAAAAACAAAATAGAGCAATGATAATGGGTCTATTTTAGTTCAAAATTTCGGATTATGCTGTGACATTATTGCCTATTTAGATCAGTGTAATTGATTAATCTAATTCACGGAAACCAATATGAATATGGTCATAACATGTTCTTCAATATAGGATAGGTCAATTTATTAATATAGACAACTCATCATTGTCTATCAGGGAACAAGTGGTTTATTAACTATTCAAATTCTATAAAATGAATACTAACCTATAGGTATCCTGCCCAATAAACGGCTTTATCTCTGAAGAAGCACCAGTATTAATCCTGACTGCAGCCACTGAACTCTTGTTAGGCTTCCCATGATCTGTAGCTACTACAGCCAGCTGCGTGTCTCTCTGATTGGCAGGTAGAGTACTATAGTTGACGAATAGAGCACCAGAGGTCGCATCGATGTAGAAACCATTAGTCGGCCGGAGAATCGAATATGATATCTTGCCATTATCACCACTATCCTTGTCTCTGGCGTTGACTGACCCAATTTCTAGAGTACCGGTGCCTTCTGAAACGTGAATAAATGCTATTTTAGAATATTTAGTTGTTCATTATAAAATTACAAATCATGGATTATTGCTATTATCATATTGGTGATGTTATTTATTGCGGGGCAATATAAATCTTTTCATCCATTTGCTCCAGTAAGAATCTTCCTTCGACATGAGTTTTTGGATCGGTTTACCAATCTTTTGGTTAGTTTACGAATAACATAGTCAAATATTATAATTATCACAAAATAAAACATTTTTGTATCATTGCTGGACACAAAATTCTACCTTCATTATTCTAATTAATTAAAACATTTTACAAATGAAAAACATGATAATAATAACTCGGGCTATTTATATTTGCAAAAAAACTATAACAATTTCATTTATATATTGTATATTTGTAAATAAATTTAGTTAGTTTAGTTATTAATTTATTTACAAATATACATACAAATATTTTTTAATCTTAGTAATAAAATTTTTATTGACATTTTATAATCATAATATAAGTTATTATACTGATAATGTTTTGTATCTTATTTATAGATGTAATTTAATTCTATTACTCTGAATATAGTTCAAAAGTACTTATTTCAAAAACATTAAGTCGTTATATTTACAAGTAACATAAATAATTTTACATACCACTAATTTAGAACTAACCAAAAATGTTTTTTCGATTACACAACTTTTTCTATGATTTATTATTCAAAAATACATACAACCCAAAATTTTCACTCTTCAAAATCGAGCCCTACTTTTAGTAGCAATATTAGTACTTTAATATTTTTTACTCTCGGCAGTCGACCACAGACAAGCAAAAATCGTGTATTGTGTGGGGATCGAATCCGTAACTACTAGAAATAAGGCGGTGAGTTAAACCGCTAAACCACCGGTATCCTCTATTAAATATTTTCAGAAAATGACTGTAGTATATATACACTTAAACATACAACAAATAGTATCTAATATGTTATTAATTACTTACCGGGTAATATTCTATTGTAAGAAATTTCGTCAAACACCGGTGCATTGTCATTTACGTCTGTCACTTTTATTGTAAGCGTAGTTTTGGCGACGTGCTCGCTGTCCGATGCTGTTATGTTTACTTGATACGTCTTTTTTGTTTCGAAATCCAATGGTTTATTAAGAACAACCTTCCCGCTGTATCGATCTATAGAAAACCTATTGTCTCCATGTAATATCGAGTACTTAAGTGGAGGATACGTATCCACGTCGTTCGCCGTGACAGATGTAAGAACAGACCCAATTTCCGTTCCTGTAAAAAGACAAATAAATGAAACTACTAGTCGTTTGACTGCCGTTTTAACGATCGGCAAAATAAAATACACTAAAACAAAACCAATGTCGACGTACAATGATATAAAAACAAAAGAAAAAAAGAGATAGGAAGACCGCGGACAGTTGGGGAGGCATCGCTAAAACATGCACTCGGAAAAAATGTAATACCGTCCAATAAATATTGATCCAAAGGAGTCGCTTTTATTTAATCTCAGCGTTGGAATCGAAAGTCGCAATGTAAACCGTCCCGAAGTCGGGAATACAAATTATGTAAAATGCCTCCCCTCTTTGTGACTCGCTTTTTGTCCTACCAATTTATTTCGAAAAGTCGATAGGCCGTGCTACAGCAATTTAAAACCGAATACGTAAACCAGTGTAAAAACTTGCAAAACTTACCTTCTGATACCGAGATGTGGTTTGGTGGCGGGAATGTGGGTTGGTTATCGTTAACGTCTACTACGTTGATCCTCAGAGTGGCTGTGCCAGTCATCTGCGGATTACCCTCATCGGTAGCAATAACCGTCAACTTGTAGGTTTCCCTTATCTCGCGATCCAACACTATATTCGTTTTAACCGATCCCGAGAAAGCCGGTTCAATGACGAACGCATTATCGTGGTTCCCGTCGACAATGTGGTACAGAATCCGAGCGTTCACGCCGCGGTCGCCGTCCTTAGCCGCCAGTTGCACGACAAACTCGCCCTTAGCGTTGCCCTCTAGAACGTTCGCTATGTACTGTTGTTGTGTAAATCTGGGCGCGTGGTCGTTTTGGTCGAGCAGATTTATTATTACGTCGCAATAACCGTATAAGACCGGCGAGCCTTCTGTTCGCGCGACCACAACGAGTTGCCGCTTAGGGCCCGGATACGATTCGTAATCCAAATTTGCCGAATTGTTCACCCTTATTACGCCGGTGTTAGAGTCGATTTCGAAGGCATATTGATCGTTTCCATTTCCGATTTCATAAAAGATCCTTTGCCGGCGACCGTCGCTGCGCACAGCTGTTACGTGTAGAACATGTTTGCCGTATTGCATATTTTCCTCGATACTGACATTGTAGGTGGTGTTTTGAAAATTTAATGTCGGCGTTTGATCAGAAAAATTTCCGACTCGGATCTCGATAAGGCCAATGGAGCTCTGAGGCGGGTTTCCTTTATCTTTGGCCAGAACTTTCAAATGAATCAGTCTGCCGTTTTCGCTAGCAAGACTTTGGGTTGCTGTGAGTACTCCTGTTGTAGGGTTAATGCGGAATTTATGATTGGACGTATCCAATAGTTCATAAAGAACTTCGGCATTGGTACCAATGTCATAATCAGTGGCAGACACACGGAGAAGGATTTGGCCTGGTTGCGTTAAAGTAGCCACTTGTTCTCTGAATGGATACTTCGTGAATACCGGTTTATTATCATTTACGTCATCAATAGTAATTTCCACTGAGACCCTTTGAGATCGAGCAACATAACGACCCTCATCCGTAGCAACAGCTTCGAAGTGGTACACGTTTGTTTTTTCCCTATCGAACGACCTAAAATGATAGAAAAGTAATTATATATAATATTATGTTAACATGTGTTCATCTTTATTAGATATCTACGAGTATATTAAATGATTATTATACTACGAGTTTTATATAAAATATAGTGAAAATTAGACAATAATATATAACTGTTATTTGTGTGTACGATAGTTGAAGTAAACAGCTAACTATAAGAATACCTTTACGTATAATATTAACTTTTATTTTACTATCCAACTAGGATTGTAACTAATTTATTATGACTTTTGTTATTTTATTATTCATTAATAAACAACGGCAATTCAATTCTATATACTAGACAACTGATACTACTTAAATACATTTTTTTAATACATAAGTAATTTACATAGAAAATACCTAGACCACTACAAAACAATTATACTCATGAATACAAATGTTTATACCGTGGAAGAAATCGAACCCGCAACCATCGGAAGTAAAGCTGCGTGCTATTATATATGTAAAAGTAGTATGTATAAAAACACAAAGATATTTGAACTAAATGTCTTAAAAGTAATAAATATTTAAAGGTGCAACTTACCCAGTAGTAAAAATTACTCCCGTTTTATTATCGATTCTAAACAGCCCTTGACTTTCGTTTGCCAATGAATAAACGATACGCTTATTGAATCCCAAATCAGCGTCAGTCGCTCTCACTTTTATTACTGAGGTATCGATAGGAGCATCCTCGGATATTGCTGCTGAATAGTGACCCGTATCAAATACAGGATCATTATCGTTTTGATCTTCGACAAGTACAGTTATATTGCAAGAACCTTGTAGAGCGATAGGTGAGCCATGATCAAAAGCTGTAACTGTCAAATGGTATTTCGCCTGCGTTTCACGATCTAATGTCTTGGCGGTAAGCTTTCCTGTAGTCGAATCAATGGAAAACTTGTTTCCATTATTGCCAGATGTTATGCTATACGTTATGACGCCGTTTGCTCCTATGTCCATATCTGTTGCTACAACAGTGTGAATAACTTCTGCTTCGTTATTTTCTGGAACCGTTATTGGATAACAAGACCCTAATTTGAAACTTGGTGGGTTATCATTCACGTCTGTAATACTGATAGTTACAGTAGCAAAATCGAAGTTGGTAGTTGATTGGAATGTACTGGAATCTGTTACGTATACTGGAAATACATAATGATCTTTTTGTTCTCTGTCAATTTTAGATTTTACAGTAACAGTGCCAAGACGTTGGTCTATTGTAAATTTATCGTCAGCGACTCCAGACGGTATCATGTAAGTCAAATTTCCTGCAATGATGAAATAAATAATTAGAAACATATATTTTTGTACTATATAAATAGAAATATATTGAAGAAAAAATTTATAGTTTTTCCGAACATTCAGAAATCATGTTTATACCTTAAAATTTCTTCTTAATATTTAGAATTATTATAAAAAGGTGATATGTATATTAATTTTTCGAGGTAGAAATAATATTTTTTCTTATAAAGAAGATTTGTCACTGTTTTAATAATTACCTGTATTTCCTCTAGAAGATTTAGCTGTTAACCTTGTTACAAAACTTCCGGGTCGAATGTCTTCACTTATGTTAGCCCTATACAAGGAGTCCGTAAATCTAGGAGGTACATTAGTAGATTCTTGTAAATTTAATGTAAGTGTCATATGACTTTGTCTTGGAAATGGTATCCCATGGTCTGAAGCAGTTAAATTCAGTATGTACTGACCAGGACGCACTCTATTTATATCTGATGCATACTTCTTTGACAAAGTTAATTTTCCATTATCATATTCCATAGAAAAATAGGCGTGGTCATTACCACTAGAAATATAATACGATATTCTCCCATTATCACCAGAATCTGCGTCTACAGCCAAGGCTTGATATAATGTACCCGTTAAAGTATTAAGGGAAACCGATACTCTATTTGCCGATACAAAAGTTGGTATATTATCATTTGCGTCTGTGATTGATATGTGAACTGTTGCAGATGTTGTCATTCTTTCAGAAACATTAGAAGCTAAATCAGTGGCTTCGACGACTATCCAATATTCTTTCAACGTCTCAAAGTCTAGGTTTGACGTGAGCGTCAAAGATCCTGTTAAAGGATCTAGATTAAAAACATGTTTTGTTGTAGGTAATGAAGAAACTATATGAAAATTTAGTTCTCCATTGGCACCAGCGTCGGCATCTTTAGCAGTAAAATTATAAACGTTCATACCCATAGGAGTAACTTCAGATATTTCAATATTTATGGGATCATGAGGCCACTGAGGAGCATTATCGTTCACATCTGCAATTTCTATTTTCACTGTCACAGCACTGCTTTGAGGGTTATTAGTTGCTGATGTATCTAATGCTCTAACTTCTAGCCTATATTCTTCCTGGATCTCTCTATCTAGTTGTCTAGCCACTACTAAAGAACCAGTACGTCTGTCAATTTCAAAAGTTCCAGGTGAATGATCAGTAGTTAACGGCATCAATAAATATGATATTTGTTTTTCTTCATCGTTATTTATTAGATTATCCTGAACATCACTATCACAGCAGGCGACTGTACCCACTACGTGACCAATTATAGCATCTTCTTTTACCTAAATAAATAAAAAATATTTTAGATATCTAATTTTTTACGTTTTAATAAAATATTTCAAATTCTGACAATTTATACTTTGTGTGTAATTTATAAATGTACAGAAATGCTACTTTTATATAATTTGCACTTACTTTAAAGGTGAGACTTGAACTTGTAAACGTAGGTCTATTATCATTAAGGTCTAGCACTTCAACCTTCAGTTGCCTCACTGTTTGTCTGGGAGGAATGCCACCATCAGTAGCCGCAACAGTTAAACGATATATTGACCTTTCTTCATGATCAAGAACTGAAATCGTAATGCCATAATTATTATATATATCAAAAACATATGGAAAAATGTATAACAAAACAATTTAATTTTACAGCAATATATATTTGGCAGTTATTTTACCTGTACTAGTTTTTATGACTCCAGTATGTGGATCAATGACAAATACTCCTACACCATCCATGTCCCCATCATTTAAGATGGAATATGTTACTGAAGAATTGATGCCGTTGTCCCTATCTATAGCTTTTACTCTAGCTACTTCAGCTCCAGGCTGCTGTTCCTCTCGTACACTGATGACATCCTCCCTTGGATCAATAATTTCTGGCGAGTTGTCATTGACATCAGTAACTTTAATAGATACTGGTACTCGACTAGATCTCGGGAGACTGCCTTGATCTCTTGCTTCCGCAAATAATGAGTACGATGATTTGTGTTCACGGTCCAAAGCTTCTTTCGTAGATAAAACTCCTATTAAGAACAGAAAAAATAATTATAATTATAATATAGTAATTATTATATTTACACATAATAATTTAACAATATTAAATTTTCATCAAAATATAATAACAATTCTATCCACGTACTAAGCAAAATTTCCTCTTATAATTCAGTCAATAATTCTCTTAAGAATTTTGTCAATTTCAAAACGATTATCATGAAGTTCAAACCCAAAATTAGGCATTCATAAAAGTGATCGCCTGCGGCAGAATACCTATGATTATCCAAGGTTCCATTCCGTATTGGGAACCTAAAAATCGTAATGACAGAAACGGGGAAGGACGATAAACGTGATTTTATAAAATCGTTGCGTAACAAAATGAACTTTAGACAACTAACGTTAAAGTCGATATTAGTGAAAAATAAGTTAAACTTGTCGGAAGATAATAAGATGTGGCAGAGGCCGCCGTAATGAGCGATGTGAACCGAACTCTAGAAAAAAACTGTTCATCGTTATTTTCTCCCCTCACAAGACTGACTTTTGTTTTAAGAACGACGTTTTACGAACGCATTTCTTATATATGTACTCTTATAATAAAATCAAATTGTAAACCTTATAAAAACAGCTAGTCTATATATAAAGTCTTTATAATTGTATTAGTCTTTTTAGTTTCTCAAACAATGCTTTACTAGTTATCATTATTACAATTTATAGTCACACAGTCCCAAGTCGAATGCCAGCTACATTTTACACCTATAATTCATTTGAGAACAGATGAAAATAAAAGGTATCCGTCAACCAAACGAGTTGTAGGTCCGCGGTACGTCCTACACGTACATTTGTAACGTATGAGCTTTAAATACTCGACGACAGTATCTGGCCGGGGTAAGGCTTGTAATAAAACATGGAAGAGAATAGCCAGGCTCCTACATAGCAATATTTTAATAATAGTTAATGGCGGGTCACGGTATATGCGCGCGCGACGACGTTTATAACTTGCAATTGACGCGCATAAATTCATTTCAGCCTGCCTCCCGTAGCGGTTATCTGGTCGGACTAGTAGTGTGACCTTTGGGATAAAAATTGCCATAAAGGATTGATTAATAATCAAGATAATAATTTTAAATTAAAGCCTCTCGGACTATGGCGGAAATAAGCACTTATGCGAAGAGTCCGATCGGAGAAATTAAAGACCAGATGAAGCGAATCAAGTTATACAAGTACATACATTGGATATCGTTGCGATCGAGATTATAGGAGTGTGTAATAACTTGGAGAATTATTCGGTTTCTGATTAATACAATGCGTTTCCCAAATGTTTGATACGCCGACGAATAAATCGTTTAAGATTATGTTCACATTTCTTTTCGTGGAGAACATTGTATTACCGCTTGATCAAAACTGAAGCCTTCTATCGGAAGATCGCCACCATATACAGACGTCATTTCGAATGATTTACGTATATCGCCTCGAAAGTAAAGGGGAAGCTGTACGGATTCGCTAACTAGCTCGCAGGGTGCCGATTTCCGATAAACCGAATTGAGACAGAAAGATCGACCATTCATCAGTCAGTTACCAAGAGATAACGAAGTGCCACCCCCTTTTTTGCGAACGCCCATATTAAGAATTTAAAGCATCCACACACGACACGATTTTGCAACTGATCAGTCGGGCAAGATCTGTTGGACCCTGATATAGAAGCACGTTAGGAAGCTAGTTGGATATGTCGGTTTTGAGTCAACTTGACTCTCAAACCAGATCGATTCAATTGATCGGACCGATTTCACGCTGCAACGCTATAAGCTTAACTGAAATTGGTTGAACTTGTGTACAATGCATATGAATATAAAAATGCACGATCTTAATCCGATATGCTGACCGTCTGGTCGAAAGGACAGGCTATCAAATCGTGTTGTGAGTAGAAATTATACAAAACTCGCACGATCAATTGGTCAACAAGTATATCAATATATATCTATGTAGATTATAGAATAATGAATCTATTGTAAAATATGTACTTAAAATCAAAGTAAATAACTAGAATTTTGACTATTTTTCGATTGTTAACACATGAAAATTCTTGTTTTTTTTATATTGCCATCAAACCTTAATAGACCTTGATGCTACTTTCACAGTATACTATTAACTTCTACAAATTTATCATAATTGGTTATTAGGTTGTGGAATAAACAGCACTTATTTCAGAATAAAATGAAGTTGAAAACAAAACGATCACACCGTCTACGGCAAACTGCCAAGAGAATAATGCAAATAAAGCTAAAAATTGCGATCCTAATGCCCATGGGAAGATCAAAAACAAACGCACTTCAGTTTGCTCCCTATTCCTTTAAATTGTGGTATTAATATAGTTTTGTTTGTTCAAACTGTTTGCCCAGTCGATGAGTCTTAAAACACAACACACTTTGGGTTTTAGCTTTCAAAGAGCCGGCAGGATAAACAAAGAGACGAGTGGCCGGGTGGCCGGGTGAAATAATTCCTTACTTGATCAAACAGAGGCCCGCCGGTTGGTATTACGGTAAAATCGCATTATTCTAATGTTGGATAACTTATTATCGACTACTTTAAAAGGGCGTTACAGCACTATTTTAAACAATGACATGTAATAGCCGTTTTGTAAATTATAATCTGTTTACGTTGTTAAACACTAAAATAGTGTGGAATTAAATGAAATATCCAATTATTCCGACTTACAGGCAGGCAACATTATATGTTACTCATGTTTATACTAACAATTTGCAACTTAGTTATATTATAGAAATAACATTTCTTATTAGTATTAACAGTTACATATACTAAAGTATCAAAAAATCTAATTTACTAATTAACCTATAGACAAATCATACTTAATAAAATACTAAACTAAATAATAATGTTAATATTAATCATTATTAAGTCTTCAGTCTTGACACCCAAATTATCACGTAAACTGTATATCAGCAGTCAGTTCCTTCCCAAAAACAAGGATTACGACTTCAATTTAATTATTTAATATAGCTTTTATGTGTATGTGTGAAAGAGAAAGTGTGTTTATGAGAGTGTGTCTGTTCAAAACTAATAGAAAATAATTTTCTTACCTGTGATTGGGTTGATAATGAAACTCGTATTCATTGGAAACAAGCTGTATCTCACGATTGAATTCTCTGCTATATCCGCGTCAGTCGCAGCTATCTTTCCCACAAATGCTCCATCTTTCTGGTTCTCCTCTACATGAAACTCATATCGAGCCTTTGAAAATACAGGATCATTGTCATTTGCATCCATAACGTTAGCAATAAGCACAGCAGTTGCAGATAGCGGTGGAATACCATTATCTGTAGCTGTTATAATCATTCTATGTTTAGATACAGTTTCTCTATCAAGTGGTTTAGATAGGTACACCCATCCTGTAGTAGGTTCCACTTTAAAATATTCATCATTGACTGTAGCGTTATCTGATACAATTCTGTATGTGATGCGAGCATTATTCCCTGTATCTTTATCGACAGCCTGGATTTCTAATATCTGTAAACAAATATTATATATGATATACATTACTATTACCTGGGGGAATATCCACTAATCTGTTCTATGTATAATATAATTAAATTGTAATTAATTTTTATTATCTATTATTGTAGTAAAATGAATACCAATGAGTTTGACTTAAGAGACTTTCCTGAGTGAATAAGAAGAAGAAGTACCATATTTGGGAATTGGAATTGGTACTTCGAGCAGGAAAAATTCTGTTACGCATTCCGATATTGAAACAAATTGGGAAAATAATAACTTTTACATACATATTTGACTAATAGCATCTTCTAGCAAAATTACAAAGAAACTACTTGTTTCTGATGAAATTAGTGATCATGTTGGATTTACAAAACCTTTTCCTAACAAGCTACAGTATATAAAAAATCAACGAGATAAGAATACGTTTTAGGCAAATAAAACTGGCGCAGACATTGCCAATTTACGAGCATAAATAGGCAAGGTGATACTACAAATAAAAAAGTCACAAGATAAGCTTGTAAAAATAGAAACATTGAAAAGTGTTACAAGAGATATCGTGGGCGCAATCTGGTTTCCACAGATTTATTATACGCAATGATATGTACAAATCCACAATAGTTAAAACGGACGCTACGGTTGGGATCGTTTATTAATCAAACGTCAATTCGTGGTTTGTTACAAATAATATCGATAACCATCAGCACCGTTGATTATCGATTGTCGATGATTGTCTCTATATATGGCATATCTATGTTTGGATCGTTTGGTCGTACAATAATATCATTCGACCATCAAAACCAATTAATTGAATTATTATTGACAACCTTGATGGTATTGGTTTAACACACTTCTTTTATCTTTAGACGTTTATTGTGTATGTATTTAAATACAGTTATATATAATATTGTAATTATTTCGGTTATTCTGCATATATCTAGTCTCTTACATAATATTTTCTATATTTATTGTGTATGTATATATAAATATTATACATTTTTTTAAGCGTACATGGATAACTTACAAATACATACACATACTACACCTAGACCGATACAAATAATCATACTCATGAATACAAATGTGTGTGCCATGCGAGAATTTGAATCCACGACCATCGGAAATCAGACAGTATGCTAAACAGCTAAACCACCGAGACCATCATTAAATATATTGCAATTGTATTAGGTATACTGTTATTAACATCAGTTGATCCGTCAGCTTGTTCATCATTCCTGTTTAATTAAAAAGAAGTTCTTACCTTGGTATTGACAGGTTCAGATTCCAACACGTTGGCCGTATATGTGTCATGTTCAAATACTGGTGGATTATCATTCACGTCCTGTACATCGACTGCCAGCGACAGGTTTGAGCTGAGAGACGGCGCGCCAGCGTCCCTCGCTGTTATAACTAGGCTGTGTCTAACGAGGTTCTCGTAATCCAGCGGTCTGTTTGACAAATATTACAATAATCTATATTAATATGTAAAGCTGAAGAGTTGATCTAAACTAGGATTGCCACCACCCTATTTTCACAGGACTTGTCCTAGTTTTACTGGGTCCTGGAATGTCCTGAATAGTTTTAAAGGAACGTCCTTCCCATTTAAAAACCCAGTTTTTAAATTTGTAAATTTGATTTGAAATTAAAAAGTATATATATTTTATTCAGATATCTAAAAGATTTTATTATTTTAACTACTTGAATTTCTTTTCATCTATTTTAACTACATATTAATGTAACAATTGCAACTCTATTACTGCGTCCTGTTTTTAAACTAAAATATACTGGTTATGCCAATTACAAATCCTAGTTTTTTTTTATATTTGAAGTTGGCTACTACAGTTCTAATTTCTGGAAATACAAGACGGATTTGAAAGAATCATTTGAAAATGATTGCTGTTCAAAAGTGCTTATATTGAAATCATACAAATCAAATCTAATTTATTTGCGATAAATATAGGTATGTATTGGTTGTCAGTTTAGAATATAATATCCCATTTTGTTTTGCCTCATTAGGCATTAAGTTCATTTCAATAATGATTACTTTATTACTCAATTATTCGAGTACAATGTGAGTAAATGTACCTACCTCAGTAAAGTGACCATTCCGTGCTGACTGCTCACGGCGAAAGTGTTCGGCGGGCCGGTAGCCGACAGCAGAGTGTATGTTATCTGTCCATTCCTCCCACTATCATTATCAGTAGCTCGAGCTGCGTATACCACAGATCCGACAGCTGTGGATTCTGCGACCGACACTCTCACCGAAGTGGTGCCGAACTCGGGGGCGTTATCGTTCACATCGTCAAGGGTAATTTGAACCTGCGGGGAGAGAAATGTCGGTGTAATGACATCCATAGGGTGGAAGAGATTAATAGTAATGTGGAGCAATAACCTCTTTGCTAACAATTTACCATATCAAGTGCGGTTTCCCCTGGAAACCTTCGTGATTTTTTTTATACTATTATGGTGGCAAACAAAGTATACGGCCCATCTGACGGTAAATGGTTACCGTAGCCTATGGACGCCTGAAACATCAGGTGTGTCACGTGCGCGTTGCCGACCCTAGGGAACCCTTAATATACCCTTCTTGAAAATTCCTGGTGAATTTTGTCACGATGGGCTAACGAAACGAAAAGAAATATCAGGACCATTATATACTGATGCCATTTAGTATCAGATGAGTCATCAGCCTATTTGATATGCCAATTATACAAAATCAAATAAAAAATAATTTATTCATATTGGACATTTTAGCCGCTTATGAACGTAAAGTTTATGTATTTATATATTTTCTCTTCGTTCAGTTCAGTGTACAGATTCAAATAAAAAAAACAATTAGATAGCACACCTTTTCATATTCATGTCTCGTGTATTAACATACGCGATGGTTGCTACTTACCATAAGGCGGGTCGTAAGCTATTTAGCCATTATAATTAAATAAAAAACACAAACCTGAGTTTGGTCATAGCTGCTTGGGTTTCCTGTAGTTGCTCGAACGTTGAGCAGGTAAGATGCAGTGGATTCTCTGTCCAGCTGGGCTGCAGTTCTGATGGAACCCGAAACGGGTTCTATCGTGAACCGATGGTCAGGGTCTCCGGAGACGATGCTGTACCGGACCGGTTGTTTTCCTGATGACAAATGTTTAAATATATTTAGTATTAACTATCAATAAAATCCCTTGTTTTAACCACTAACGCCGTACAAGGTAAATAATCGTTTACGAGTAAAAATACTACTATGTAGACTATATACCTTAATAATATTATATACATGAAAGTTTGCAAGTATTTATGTTTGTTACTCTTTTACGCAAAAACTTTTTTACGCAAAAACGATACATGTGTCTTTTGTTATATTGTTTGATTTTGATGAAACTATCTATCTATCTATCTATCTACTGAACGGATTTTGAATATAGTAATATAGCTTATGCATCAGAATAACATATTGAATATTGAAATTTCACATCATCGAAACGGTTTGTCCGATTTTTATGAAATTTTACATACACATTCAATAGGTCTGAGAATTGGCTACTATTTTTCATACTGCAAAGTGATAAAGGACTGTCCACCCCTAACATTTATTTTTGGAACATTTTTTATAATGTGGCTTTAAAAAATACATACAACCCCAAATTTTCACCCTTCTGTTACCAACTCCTATATTTTAATAGCGTTTTTAATTTCTATGGCAAAACAACGTTTGCTTTGCAGCTAGTATACACATATACATATATATAAGTAGGTTAGTGCAAATTATTATATCGTTTAACGATATTCTCCGATATCGTGCACCCATTATCTTGAACGTCTATCTGTTGGGATAGCTTCATAGAACACAAAGCAACATGTTTACAAAATAGCCGTATGCTTGAAAGCATCGCTCGCCTCTGAATAATCCACTGTGACTACACACAGATCTGTCCATTGACATGCAATATCACGTTAACCAGTAATAATCTTACTAATATTATAAACGCGAAAGTTTGTGACTGTGGTTGGATAGATGGATGGATGTAACATACATACTTACATACATACATACATTTTTATTCTCATTGTGCAGTAGAAGATAAGATTAGTAATAAGATACGATGGGACTGGCATTATCATATTACGATAAAAGTCCCTAAATAAATGTAAGAATAAAAAAAACATACATACTTAAAGTGCTCTGTCACGCTAAAACTATTGAACGGATTTTGATGTAACTTTACAGTAATATAGCTTATACATTGGAATAACACAGCGGTTTAGCATGCCGACTTACTTCTGTTAGTAGCGGGTTCGATGCAAACATTTGTGTTCATGAATATAATTGTTGGATGTTGTCTATGTGTTTACAAAAAATGTATTTAAATATTTCTATCAGTTGTTTAATATATATATATATAAAACAAGATCTACTTAGCATTAACTATATTACTGTGTGAATTGTCCTAAGTTATTATTGTTACTAGCTGTGCCATGGGTTTCACCAGCTTGAAATTTAGACTCTATGTGTTATGTAAGCTATAATATTGTAAACTATCATTAAAACCCATTCAGTTGTTTTTGCGTGAAAGATTAACAAACAGCCATATATTCACACTCACAACCTCCATTTTTTTAATATTATTAAGATTTCTTATTCATTCTAAAGGCTATACCAACGTTCCGCCACTGTGTCCCAAATATGAGCCCACTCGTCTCAATTTTCCCCAGATTGTGGGCATTCGAGCGAAATTGACCGCACTGTATTTATGGTGACCATAAATATTTATGCATCGGTATCATTTTACTTTCGACATTGAATTGTCTATGCTTAATTCTGGGAAGGCGCATTTATGTGTTCTTTACATCGCCTCAACGGGGTCTCAGGAGTTATGGCAGTTCTGAAGATGGCTAGACTTATTCTAGATGGGGCGGCAGCTTGGAACTATTTGCAATATTATGAAGCTGTTACATAGTTTTATCAATACAGTCATATACATTTACGACTATTAGTATAGATGGGGTAGTCAGAGGCATTATCGTGTTAACATCGTTATGAACGCAACACTTGACAAGATATCATTTAACTTGATATGTATTTCGAAAATGTATGATAATGGTGCACCCGCTGTGCTAACGGTATACGCTGGTGGGGCACCAGTGCGTGTTATATACGTGTTATATATAGAGCAATAATTTGTAACCATTATAATACAATAGTGTATAATAACCCTTACAGTAATCTAGACTGCACCGTCAGCTACAAAATTCTTCCACGTGCATTTTCGCTGACGATGCAGTACTTTATTAAATTAAAAATGATATTTCGACAGAATTGTAAGAACCGGCCTCCATCGCAGAGCTGCCAATGGTGTAGTAATTAATAAATATTTTATAAGAAAATTAATTTCTTTAAAAGTCCTCCTCGGCTGTGACATAATTTGCAGGATAATGGGATGAACATGGTGATAGGCCAGTTAGCGTCGTAACGAATTTACTCGGAATTAACCACGATGGTTTCAAGGAGAGAACCGCGTAATGATCGACTTGAATAGTGAAATTTTTAGCGAATTTGTAATGGAGTTACAATTCCCCATTACTAACTATCCCTTTCCTCCAGAAAGAAGATTTATGTGTTTCATTCTTATTGTACCTAAATTAAATTGCATGAAATGACTGAAAATAGACGATACATCAGGACAATTCATACAGCGCCATCTAGTCCAATGAGAGTTTGTGTTATGGGTACTACAACAACTGACAACTGAAATAAATACTCGCATACATTTTTGTAAATAAACACACATACTCATGAATACAATTTTTTTTACCGTACGGCAAATCGAACCCGCGACCATTGGAAGTAAACCGCTAGACCACCGGGGCCGCAATATCATAATTTTAGCTCGTATTTGTAATTATAGGAGTTAATTAATCATTTGATAATTGATCATTAAGCTGCGTGGTACTTCCTTGATTAACGGTTACCACCTACCATAGGCATTCGATTTGAAATAATAAATTTATATAATCCATTGCAAACTGTTATTAATGCCTAACACCAATTTTCAATTAGCCAAAATATATCTAAACCAATTTTAATTGGCAATTCCCACAACTTTTTCAAGGTTTTTTTTTTCTGCATTACAAATATATTGTTTTAAGAATAAATTAGTCCTATTTGAAATAAAAAACATTATAATAGTTTATATAATAATGTTTTTACATACATTATTATATTTCATATGATATTGTTTTGTAAGTTTCTGTACTATAATAAAAATATTTAAGTGAATAAGACAAACAGATAGTACTATAAGATATTTTAGGGTGATACCTTTAGCTGCTTATTTATATAAACATAAAATATCTTATAGTACTATCTGTTCATCGTGTATCTATCTGGTGATATTTGTACTATACTAATAGAAGAGAATAGAATAAATATTTTAAATTTAAATTTGTTTTTATTTAATAATGCATGCATTTTAAAAATGAAATATAATTTCAGTTCAATAAATAGTATCAAAGAGATAAAACAAGAAACAAACATGATTGTTACACTTATATTAAAACTGTAACCTGAATTTAAAAGTATGAATAAAAAAAATTGGTTTGGATATGTGACTAAAATTACCATAATGAATAAATGATGTGAGTTTAAATTTATTTATAAACTTCTATAATTTATTAATACTATATATCTGGGTAATACTATTTTCCAATTGGCCCTCAATACGCAGTTTCTCAAGAATTTAAGAGTGTCTTTAAAATTAAATAAATAGTTGAAAAGATAGAGACTCAACAGACAAATTGTATATATTTGAGATGAATTTAATAAGAATTCTTTATGTTAATTATAAAGTTTAGATATTAATTAATCATTTCATAATTCCGCGTAAAATTTTCAGGTACTTACCATAATTAAGTCGCATTTAATAAACATTAAATAAATTTTCATAATGCAATCAATAAATTTATATAATCCTTTACCATTTGTTATGAATACCTAACACCATTTTTCAATTAGCCGAAAATACTATATCTATCAATTTTTAATTGGCAGTTCCCAAAACAATTTAAGAGTCTCTTTGTCGAAATTTTTTATCTGCAGTTTTTGCTGTCGCTTTTTCGATGTTCATTTTGGCGGCTTGACGCTACCAGCTTGGATTGATATACAGTCCCACTTGCGGACATGCCCGGCAGTCTTTGTTTGTGTAACTGGTCCTTTGGCCCTTCCCCCGACCCTCGGTTTACCCCCCTTCGGCCCTTTGTCTTTTCACCATAAGCAGTCGGGCGGTTTAATCTTATTTTCGGTAGATTTTACAGCATTCTTTAAGGCCGGTGTTTTAGTTTTAAATATATGTACATGCCGCTTCATATTTGAAGTCTTTAGATATACGTTACTTATTTACGTAAATAAACATTGTAAATTTATATTTCTGGCAACACCAAAAACAAAGTAATTCGACAGGCAACATTTAGTAAAATGTGATTATGATATCACGATAATCATTCTCACTACCTCATATGAGACTATTTTTATTTTATAGACAATGCTCTAGTTTGTAGATGATAAAAAATTATCAATCTGTTTTTTTTTTATTTTAGATTTAACCTATATGTTATATTTATTCACAATGTATAAACAATAAAGCAGAGGAAGTCGCGGATAGCAACTAGTGTTAATAAAATTAATTGTTTTCAAAATAGTAGTAATCTTTTAAATACTTTATCCAATTAGATTTAGATATGTGCAGTAAAATCGAGACGGACATCTCTCTCATCTCACTTGTATTCACTGATGCATCTTTTCAACATTTCGGTGGCGCATTCATTAGAGGTGCAGGTTCGTTTCCCGTGCCTTACCGTCTCGTTACAAAATAAATTTGCATCCCGCCTTCTGTATTGAAATCATTAATGGCTAAGATTATCTCGCTCACGAGAACAGGCCCGCTCAATTAAGTGTTGTAAAGATTTCCCTCTGAATGGTGGATTCTCGATTTAAATTAATGAATTAATTTAATCGGATAGTACGATTATTGATTACGGTCTTCCAACTGCCTAATAGTTCTTTTTAAATTTTCGAAATTAAAAAAAAAAAGAACAGAATGTGTGCTCGGAAATATGTATTGATTTTTTCATATTTTTAT